TTGAAGTGTGCCCTGTCCACATATGAAGGTCCTGAAGGCTTTACTCACATGGGCTTGATTCCATTCACATCATTATGGGAGACTCCACGTTGAGAAGGCATCTTCTCAGTCACATTTTGAGTGCCTTGACCAGAAGGGCTCATCTTTGGCCACTTCTGATAAGGTCAGAAGATACCACCTTAACACTTTCTCTCATGGCTTTCTCTCTCAAAATTGAGAAAATCTCATATATATGTTTCTTTCCTGAATGCTGTATCCCAAGTCCAGTGCCCAATCTTCCTCTGCCTACTTAAATTCTCCATCCTGATGTAAATACAGACCTCAAACTTAACATATTCAAAACCAAACTCTTGATTTCACTATCTCAAATCTATTTCTCCAACATTTTCCTTCCCTCAGTAAGCGGTGACTCTCATTTTCCAGTTTTTGTAGCCCTATGGGATCATTTCCAATTCCTTTCTCTCAAATTCTGAATCCAGTACATCAATACGTTTGTTCTTTGTATTATCAGCATGTGTTCAGGGTTTGATCATTTCAATCTGCGCTGTTACTGCCCTTGTCTAAGTCATCATGATAATTAAGCTGGTTGTTGCATCACTTGCCTGACTGGACGTCCGGCCTCTATCCTGATGGCCCTTCACCATGTTCTCCACTGAGCAGGAAGAATGGATTTCTAACACCTTCTCTAACCTCATCGTCTACCAACTGTGCCTGTAAGAATTCTTCTGTTCTAAGGTCTTTGTACATGTTTTCTCCACTATACATTCTCACATCTATCTTCCTGGCTCCCTCTTTAATTTCATTAGGTCTCTACTAATATAGTTCCCCACTAGAAAGGGCTTTTCCTAACTTCTTCTGCTCTCTATAAAATAGCTCTTCTCTATAACCCTATTGCAACCCTGCTTTACTTTTTCTGGATGATTTATTGTGTTTTCTAGCCACACATGACATAGTGTGCGTATATTACAAATATCTTTCTTTTTCCCTATGCTCCATCTTGATAGATTAGCTGTCATCAACTTATTTAATTCAACTTATTTAATTAACTAATTACTTATTGGATACATCCTGGTAAACTTCCCACAGCACAGAAACTAGAAACACAGACACATAATTATTCATGTACGTCTACATCTATATTTGCATATGTACAATTTTACAATTGAAATATAAATATAACACATACTCATGCCTCCCTGCAAACTAAGCTTCAAGTGAGCAGGGGCTTTACTTTCTTTGTCCTGTATACCCAGCATCCAGAATAATGTCCAGGTGGCACCTAACCAACCAGTTGATTATGATTCTTGGTGACCCCTGTGTTTCAGAGTAGAACTGTGCTTCCCAGAATGTTTGATGGCTTTCTTCCATAGGTGTCTCTGAGTAAATGCAAACTTTCTATTCTTCAGTGAGTAGTCAAGCACACTAACTATAATATAACCACCCAGGGACTCCATTTGACACATAAGTGCTTGAAATTAAACTACTGTATGCATTGAAGTGGACTTGGGGTGGCAGCTGGTCCTGGCATATTTATACATTAATCTTTTCATAGCTAATGTAGGTATCTATATGTCTGCAACCAAAATTTTCATTTTCATTTGCCTACCTTGTTTCCACCTGCTCTGCCTGCACTCCTGTTCCTTGACTTTGCTCTCCACAAGAGGGAGGTAGCTGCTGGAAAGTGCCCCTCTATGCCTTGGCTCAGGTTATCTTATTTATCTAGAGGAGACACCTTTTCTTTGGCTCCAGGAAATCTTTGTAACTACTTCTTCCTTTTCAGGAAGTTAGGAGTTGCCTCTTTCATGTCTTCTCGGTCCCCTGCTACCCCTTCCTGGCCCCTCAGCATTCTCCCATACCATCCTCTGTCTCTGTGTTCGACTGTGTTACAATGATCTGTTTCTCTGATGTTGGAGCTGTGTGGGGCAGCAAACAAGTCCAAGACCTTAGCTATGTGATCTTTCCCACATTCCTAGAAGTAGGTATGAATGAGTATGCCCAGTTCACAGATGGACAAACTGACGTAAACTCCAGCCAGTTTCCCAGCAAGGGAAAAGCCCAGAATCCTTCAGCATTCCTTTTCAGAGCATCTTACTATCACTTAGAGAGGGTGCCATTCCTCCTTGTTACAAGACTGGGTGCTTCCCTGTGCCCCTCAGGAAGGTAACCATGGATACTACTGAGCTGGCACAAAAGCCTTCAGATAATGGGACCTACAAGTGGTTTTCAGGAGGTTTGGAGGCTAGGTGCAAAACCTGGAAGTACTTGCAAAGGAGGGACTTCTGCCTCGGGACTCAACTGGGTATGTTTCAATTAAGGAGGCTTGTGCAGTTCAGCAGATACTGCCTTCCCCTTGCCTCCAAGTGCCCGCACCGCCCCCCTCCCCCAGCCTCTGAGCCATAATTTTACTTTAACCTAAGACTAGGCTATTAACTAGCTGTGAAGAGACTTAAACCCAGTGCATTTCCCTTCTCTGGAAAGCAAGACACCCCCACCCCCGCCCACTGTGAAATGTGGAGCCTCTGTCCAGAAAGTGAAGAGCTCCAGAGGTCCCTCTGGACAGAGAGGCTGGGAATAATGGGGTACACTGGCCCCAGTGTTCTAGAAGTCGGTTCCAGCATCAACCCGTTTCCACCCACCGCACTTCTCAGGGCTGTTCTTTTCCTAGCGCCAGGTCACTGTTCCTGAAAAGAGTTCAAGCCCAGGACATCTTTGTGAGGCTCTTCATTTCCCCAGGGAATGCCGGAGGGCGCCCATTCCCCTGCTCCCCTCTCCAGCGTCCCTGTCTTCCCTCACTATCCTTTATTCTCAAGGGAGGCATGCCTAGAGAGCAGGCACTGGGGAGCCCCTCTAGTCGCGTGCATGGGACTGGATCCCAACTTCGCAGCTTCGCGGGTGGGGGCAGCGCCCCTCCCGGAGGTAGGATGAGGAAGCCCAGTCATACAAGGCTCAGTTCCGTTGGGTGGGTGGTGGCTGTGGGCCAGGGTCCCCGGAGGGAGTGTGCAGTCTGGCGCAGGAATCCTCCTAGGAGGAAGGGAAGAGGAGGGGCACTGGATACTGACTCTCGGGGGCACCTGGGGTGGCAGTTTCCCAGAGCTTTGACGTAAACTTAAAGAGGCGCTGAACACTCCCACTGCTTAAGAAGAGGCAGTGTAGCTTAAGGACTCGGAGCGGGAACCTTCGCACGCGCGGGATACAGCCTGGGCATTTCCTCTCCAGGATCCCGGAGAGAACTGGGCAGGTGAGTGCGTCTGGGGGCTGTCCTTTCTGCGTCCCGGAAACAGAGCCTCAGAATAAGAAAACGAGTGATCATGAGGACAGAGAGGGTCCCGGGTAGCTCCCCTTGGAGAAAGGCGAGATCGGAGGACCTCAGCATTGAGGGACTTAAAAAAAAAAAACAACAACCGAAAAAATCCTCTGAAGGTCTGAGAAAGACTCTCATAAAAGGAGCGAATCCAAAGGAGCCAATGCGAGCGCTGACCGGCAGGGACCGCAGGAGCCAACTTCAGCACCGCAGACAGCGCCCCGTCCTCTGCTTACTCATAAGTGATCAGTTTAGGAGAAGAAGAAAAAATTTCCGGGGTGCTTCTACTTGGATATTTTAATTTCAAAGCAGATTCACTGAATATCATTTTGTTCAGGGAGAGAGATCATATATCTATGATTTGAAAAGTAGACGCAAATATGTTGGAACACTCTTGTCTCTCAATTCTGCCCCTTCAAAACAGGAATGTGTACGTTCAAAGACAAGAGTTGTTGAAATCTTGATTTGATGGCGCTTGCTGTGAAGAGAAAGACATGATGTTATGATGTTATCATTAAACGTTTTGATGTAGATGTTGAGTATTGCTATGAACTGTGCTTTGCTGGCATTGATGAGCATATTAGTGGTGTCTACAAGATATGAATATTTAAAATAGCAAGTGGAATCTTTATGCCCCTCCTCTATTTGTCTTTCTGTTAGATTTGTTTTATGTACCCTGTGAGAAGTTAGAGAAGTTTATTTTTCTACAAAGAGAAAAAAATGAGGTCCTTATGAATTCAAGAGCATTCTTTCTTGTTGTGCATTCTGCAGTGGTGTGTACATGGCTTGATCTTATTGCAACCAGCAGTGAGAGGCAGGAAAAAAATGAATGAGTGACAAGTAATTATCTTTAAAAAGCTTAAGAGTTATAGTAAGAAATGAGAAAGAGAAAACGTAATCTAGATGAAAGCTACATCAGAATTGTAGAATATTTTTAGTTGTTTGCAAAGTGTCTACTAATTCTGCTCTAGTAAGTTGAATGTATATTTCTCAGTCCCCACATATCCAGAAAAAGCAACTTTATTCATCTTACGAAGGAACACATCTTAAAAATAGATATTCCTTAGCCCTAAATATCATGATTTTACAGAACCGAGGCAGAATATGAGGAGCTCCGGTGGTGTAGTGGATTACACATTAGGCTGCTAACCCACAGACTAGTGTTCGCCCTACCAGCCAATCTGCAGGAGAGAGCTATGAGGCTTTGTGCTTCCCTAAAGATTTACAGTCTCAGGTACCCACAGGAGCAGTTCTACCCCGTCCTAAAGAGTGATTATGAGTTGAAATGGACTCAATGAGTTGAGATTAAGAGTCAGATAATGAAGGAAGCCTGTGGGCTAAACACTGGGGTTTGAACGGAAAGTGGTTCAAACTCACCAGTCGCTCCTTAGAAAAAAGGTGATGCTGTTGCTTTCATAAAGATTTACAATCTCAGAAGCCCTATGAGCTGGAATCATTATGAGCTGGAAGCAATTCAATGGCATTGAGTTTGGTTTGGGGAGTTAGTCAGGCAATGAGTGTTCTAGCTAGAATTCTGCAAATGACATGGAAGTGCAATAAGATTTTTCTCACATTGGAGACTGGTGGGGTTCTCTTTGCAAAATTCTTAAGAGGAGTTTTTGTTATGTTTTGTTTCAGTACTAATGGAGTAAATACAGAAACTCTCATGAATATTTCCGTTCTGTGCAGCTTCTGGGCCATGGCTGACTCTGGGAGCAGAGGAAGGATGCACCGCCCCTTGAGCCTCACTTGTTCCCTGATCATTATGGGAATATGCTGTGTTTCTCCTCTCTTCTGTCATAGCCAGACAGACCTGCTGGCTCTGAACCAAGCTGATCCTCAGTGCTGGGAATCCTCTTCAATGCTCCTCTTGGAAATGCGGAAGCCTCGCATTTCCAACACAGTTTCAGGCTTCTGGGATTTTATGATCTACCTGAAGTCATCAGACAACTTGAAGCATGGGGCGCTGTTTTGGGATCTGGCCCAACTCTTCTGGGATATCTATGTGGACTGTGTCCTTTCCAGGAACCATGGCTTAGGAAGGAGGCAATTGGCTGGAGAGGAAGACAGAATCCCAGCAGCACATTCAGGGCACACAAGAAGCAAACAAGGTGCTCAACATTGGGTCCTTTGTCGTTTGAAATGTTAATCAAGTGGAAATATTCGGAATTGTAATAAACAGGGAAAGGGGACCATTGTTCCTATCCACAGAGCACCCAAGTGATAGGAAGGTAGACAGCATTTCCTTTTTCCATATCATAATAGCTGCATTTATAAATTTTTGCCCTGATTCTCCCACTTGAGGTGAACAGCAGTTAGGGAGACCCTGAAAGACAAGTAAGGAGAAGCATGATTCCCTAAATACATGACAGAAACATAAAAGAATGTCCCCAAATTAAGGCAATTCCCACATTAGTCTGAAGATCAACAACCTGACAGTTAGTTCATTTGCTAAGGAATTGGGAGGATTTGAATGTTAGTGCAGGGAGCATTGACAACACTCAATTTCTTGCACTCTTTAAACTGAAAAAAGAAGAAGAAGAAGAAGAAAGACAAAAAAGACAAAAACATTGCTTCATGTAAATGGAGGGACTACTTGAGAGGTACTTAGTTTGAAAAAATGAAGTGTAGAAAAATCAACTGGCATGCAAATTCACTCCCTGTTGGGTTTTCGCATCAGTCTCAAATATGTAATTGACTTTCAGCTGAGTACTTTTTTTTTGGAAGTTGGAGTTTTTTATCATTAGGGATTTCCTTGGAAGTATATATCACATTTACACACAGTCTAATCTGGAGTACTAGAAGAAATATGCTTTATAAAATGGAAGTAAAGGTGAGTGAGTAAAGAGATGCCTTAGCGTAACAAGGAGCCCTAGCGGGATGGTGATTATGTGTTGGGCTGTTAACCGCAGGGTCAGTAGCTGCTCTAGGGAAGAAGGATGAGTCTTTCTACTGCCATAGATAGTTATAGTCTCGAAAACCCAAAGAGGCAGTTCTACCTGCTGTATCGGGGCACTGTGAGTCAAAATTGATTGGATTGCAGTGAGCTTGGTGCTTTGGGTCCTATTCATAGTGCTTTTGTTCCATTTTAAAAGTCGTATCAACCAATGAGTCCCCAACATTGCAGCAACGACTGTATGGGTAACGGTAACTCTTAGGATTATTTATGTATCTGAGGAAAGCTTATCCATCATTAATTATTGCATTCATGTATTTTGTTATGCGAACTATAATATATTAATATAATCTCTCAATTAAAATAGAAATTAACAGGAACAGATCAAGCTAAATCTTTTCCTAAGACATTATCCCAAGCACTAATTGTCTTTGAGTTGATTCTGATTAATGGAGACCTCCTGTGGTTTTACATATTTAGTTTGTTTTAACCCTGGGAACCTGTGTCCCATAATTTGCTGATAAAAATATCAGACAATCCATTACTATTATTTATAAATTAATTTATGTTGGCAAATGGTGTATTTTTATGAAAATAACTACTCCCTTTTAATTTGTTTGGTAACTGCTGCTTTCCCCTGAGAAGTATTTCCGTAAGATGTTATGCCATTTTTAAAAACATGTTGCTGTGAAAAAGGAGCATCATGTGTTTACAAATGTGTCACCTGAAGGGACGGAATGACTAGGAAACAGATTTAGACATTGTGTGTTACATGTGTAAAAACACCGAATTGGGAATTAAACCGTTTTCTTTCTTTAGAGACAATATTCTTTCAGCAGTTTTAGCTACTTAAGTAGAAATAGAAAATGGGTATGTTCAAGTGTTGGTTACAAATTAAAGACATTTTTTTTAGAATGAATGAAGTTCACGAGTATGAGCCATGCATTGTGTTCATATGCACTGCTAAGCATGGGTAGAGGGCATTTCCACATTCTTTTCATTTTGGTTGTTGTACTTAAAATTGTTACCAAGTTTGTCTTCCCTTTGCACTCAGTTTACTTGTTGTTGTTGTTTGAAATGATCTTGTTTGTCACTAAAGCCTCCAAGTCCATTTTCATTTTATTTTTCCTCTTTTTCTTTTTGCTACTCAGACCAATACTTAGGTTTGAAGGATAAGGAATCTGGAGAAATATTTTTAAAGAAGTACACTGTGTACATTTAGACAGCCTATCTCAAGAAAAGAAATCAACGACAATATCCTCTTAAATCCCCATATATGTCTTTGCACTCACTTAAAATAATACTAAGAAATGTTCACAAAATGAGTAAAATTATTATCTGTGTTCAGCTGAACATAAACGTAGCATTGTAATTCAACTTGGCCTACCACTTAAAGACATATCTTTGCGTTTGCTTGAGGCTATGTATACACGAGGGAGGGTACCCCCAAGAAAACGGAATTTGTTTTCAAAGCTATGTATTTAAATATTTTTACAAAACAACCTTATCACCTTCAAAGTACTGTCCATTACACTTAATACATTTGTCAAATAAGCAATTCCGTTCTTGGAAACATTTTTCTAACTCATCTGTTTGGTTGGCTGACAGCACTTCCCTCGTTTTTTCTTCACATCTTTTATGTTGTCAAATCGCTGCCCTTTCATGTCTCTTTTCATTCGTGGAAACAAAAAAGAAGTTGCATGGAGTGAGGCCAGGTAAGTAAGATGCGTGAAACAAGAGAGGCATGCTCTCCCCCGCCCCCCAAAACTGGCAAACTGAGATGGCTGTGTGAGCAGTTGCATTGTCGCCAGGGCAGAATCAGGCCCGCGTCTGCCATAAATCACACCTTTTTGGTCGCACACTGTTACACAATCTTTTCAGAAATTCTAAATAGAAAGCTTGATTAACAGTCTGACCTGGTGGAACAAACTCCTAATGCGCTACAAGTTGACATGTTCACCAGTTTGAAGTTGGCGGATATCCAGAACAAGGTTTGTCATCAATTGACAGTTCACCTTTTTTGAAACAAGAAAATCACTAGTACACTTAAGTTTGTCCCATAGTGCTGCCCTTGTAAGCTGTGTTCAACATTACAGCAGTTTCTGTGCCATTTTTCCTGAGCAGGAAATAAAATTTCACAGCCGCACACTGTTTTCTTAAATTGGCCATCACACAAGAAAATACGGTTCTAGCAAAACTGCTTTTACTGGGGGGAAAAATCACTGTGATCAGAGAGAACCTTCCCAGGTGATGCCACTGGTTGCACTAACTCCGAGTGAGTTGCTTGATGCTCACCTACCGAGAAAAATGCAAACTACAAAAGCCTATTCCATCCAGCACAATTCCAGGTTTTGGTACTCTGTGGCAGTTGTTTTTTAACTTTTTATTGTGAAATTAGGCGAAGTTCTAGGGAGGAGATAATCAATTTTACATGTAAAAACTCATCAAACCTCCTAACGTCTTTCCCTATGTCTATCTTTTTTTGCGCATCTCTCTCGTTGGATAGTGTCTTCCCTTTCCCAAAAGTTAACGCCTGTCTGCACTGTGGACTGTGACTTCCCCTCCCTTCCCTGGACATTCTATCTCTGGTAATCATTAAAGTCTGTCTTTCCATGCGCAATACAGAAAACCTTTTTTTTCTTTTAATATAACAGGGGTCTCACAGAATATTTTTCTTTTTTGTGATTGACGTACTTCACTCAGCCTCATGTGCTCCAAGCCCATCCATGTCATGAGTCCAGTCGTTACTCTTCAATGCTGCATAGTATTCCATTGTGTGTATGCATCAATGTTTATTTATCCATTCTTCCACTCAAGGGCATGTAGGTTGTTTCTCATATTCTTGCTAATGTGAATAGTGCTATGATGGACACAGGTGTGCATATATCTGTTTGGGCTCTGGGTCTCACTTTTAAAGGATATACAGCCAGTATGAAACCACACATGTAGTGGTTGAAGCATGCTGCAGTGTGGAATTTCTAACTTCTGTAGATAAAATAAAGTATCAGCTTTAACTTACAAGTTGGAAGCCACTTTCTTCACCTTGCTGCAGAGTGTATATTGACTCAGCTGACACTATGCAAGAAGTAGAAGTGCACCTTTCAGTGTATTGAAATTATTTGAACATTTAATGCAAACTATTGTGTGCAGGCCAGGAAACAGCATTTTCCATTTGGATTGTATCTTCACAGTCAAAGAGGGTCTTGGGTCAAGGAGATACCATGTCCAAAAGTTAAATAGTTACAGGAACATCAAGTTTTCATTTCAAGAGGCTTGATTAAACCTCTAGTGGTTCAACTGGGTTCTGGATGTCCCTGTGTGCATCTTCTGTTAATTTTTTCTTTTGTCCCTGGGGATTTAATACACTCCCAGGCTGGGATGGAAGTAGGGCTGAAGAGATGCTTGTCCCTACAGTTTTCAGTGAAGCCACATCATCAGGGCAGAAGAAATGAATAGAAGTAAGTGTCTACAAAGTACTCCAAAAGGTTTTGACTCCTCCAAATTAAAGTCTAAACACACTTGAAAAATCTCGCTATGCATTTAAAAAATAAATTTAACCCTCATATACTTTCATATGTTAACATATCATATTTGTTAGTATTGGGTCAATAAATGTGAAAACAAAAGATAGTATGTAGATAAATAAACTGGGGCAAGTTCATTAAATTAGTCTTTGGTTTCTTAATCTGAAAAAGAGTTTGATGGAAGGTGTTAGATGATCTCTGAATTTTCTTTTATTTCTCGGTCCTAATGGTCTGTGAGTCTATAAAAAGGAAATGTACTAAAAGCATGTCAATATGGAAAAACTCTGGAAGCACTGTACTCCGAGGGCAGTTGACCCTGTTGACTCATGATCTGGACACTGTGACTGTTTGTAAAAATGATAAGCAAGAACAGTGGAAGTTCAGAAATCAAAATCGCCCCCACCAAAAAAAACCTAAAAAACAACAAATCTTTGCTGTTTAGTCTAGATCCCAACTATCCTGAGGATGCTGTAGGTAGCACCAGGCGGTCGTTTGCTCTGTTAAACCTCGGGTCTCCATGAGGTGGAAGTCACTGGACAGCAACTCTCACCATTTAGTCTGCGAAGACATGGTCGAGGGACTGAGTGTTTACCTGGGAAAGTATGAAGAGCATGTGCCTTGGCTGAGCTCCTGATCCCGATGGATGGCGTCAAGGCAGAGAATGAATGAGGAAGACATAGAATACAGATAGACACTGACGGATGGTAGACTGATGGACTGATTTAGGAAAAGAAAGTTCTGATGGTAACTCAAAAATAGACAGAAACAGAATCCAGGTTAACTCATGGGCTAACATAGACCCTTCTATGCAAATGAAGGCTTTTTTTAAGGTACATCCTTGTTTTTCTTCCATGATGAGAAAATTTCAACTTAGAGTTGTGAGTTGATGGTGTTTGATGTCTAACGAACTGGCATAGGAGAATCATCACTCAGAAAATCAAACAATGGGCTGCATTGAGTGAATCTGCTGCACAAGAATTCCTTAAAGTATTGAAGAACAGGGATATCACTTTGATGACTAAGGTGCGTCTGACCAAACCCTGCTATTTTCAATGGCCTCATATGTGTGCAAAATTTGGACAATAAACTGGGAACACCAGAGAAGAATTGATGTATTTTACTTGTGGTGTGGTCAAAGAACATTTAGTATACCACGGAATCTTTAATCTACTTGGAAGAAGACAGCTTTGTTCCACCTGTGGACTGTTCCAACATGCTTTCAGGAGAAGCTGCTTTCTGGATATGGCCATCGTGCTTGGCAGAGAGTGAGCGACAAAGGAAGACTGTCCTCGAGATGGCTGGACACAATGGCCACAACACTGAGCTCAGACAAGACAATTGTAAGAATGTCTCAGGAGCAGGCAGTGTCATGCTGCTACCCAGGGGTCCCGAGGAATCAGAGCTCACTGGATCGCACCTAACAACGACAAGCACAGTAGACGACAGTGATTGAGAAAAACAAGGTATTCGACTCAGAAGCATTTTCTGTCTAACCTACTCACTCCAGGAATTTTCCTATGAAACCTACTCAGTTGTTTCTCATCTTGAAATTTATTCCAAGGAATCAAAGATGCAGCACAATACCCTTTAGGCAGGATTACGTAAAGGAGATAATAACCTTGTAATTTATCGTTAGTAATTATAGTGAGTAACATAGTGGTTGTTAATTGCGGTTGAATCAATTCTGAATTATGGCGACTCCACATGCTATAGAGGAGAACTGCTTCGTAGCATTTTCTTAAAGGAAGCAGGTCATCCGGGCCTTTCTTCCATGATACTGCGGTGTACAGCATTTGTAGTAGTAGAGTAATAATACTTAGTAATAGAAAAGTTGGAGATGAGAGAGAGTGAGAGAGAGAGAGAATGGAAAACTTTTATCATCTCTGGAATTATTTTATGGATTGTTTGAACATTTTCTTTATTATTTCAATATACAATGAATTTTAATTACTTTTCAATAAAAATATTTTAAGGATAGTCTTAGTGATAAGGAAATGGTATTTATGATAATTCACTTCATTGGGGTTATATAATTAAATCACAGACATCGAAAAATTTGCATAAATAGAAATTTCCATATGCACTGCTGCAATACATCTCATCCCATTTTGATGATAAAACCAAACGCACAGCAGGTTTTCATTAAAAAAAAAATAACTGCCATTTCATTATGCTGAAAATAATTGAGTGACCTGAAGATTTTTTTTCTACTTTCAGGTGCATATTCTCAGCTTCTCCGAACACCTCTCCTGAAGAAGAAAGAGTTGGTTGAAGAGCTGATGCACATGTATGTGCCCAGGAGTGGATCTAGGCTCATTGGAAAAGTGACCAGCAGTCTGAGAATAAAGAGAAAATAAATCTGATGCACATGTTGGAATTAAACAATATATAGACACATATTTTTCTTGAAAAGTATTTATTTATTTATTTATTTCAAGTGGTGGGAATGTCCAGAGACAAATATTAAACCAAATTCTCTCAGATGACACGCTCAAAGGCTCCATTCATTCTAGGTAGCTAGCATGTTCCAAATGGTCTCGTTCCTGCCAGATCTTCTCACCTTCCTCAAGAGTTAACAGTTTCCAAAGATGGTCTTGGGATTGGGAGACCCTGCTTCTCTAAATTGTTTTTGATATTTTATCTTCAGACACTTGAGCTGGGGAAGGAGCTAGGGTGTGATACATTTGACTTACGTATACTTTCTAACTTCTAAACCATTCATCCTTGGATGGCTTATGCCCAGACAGACAAGGCACTGTATGTATCAATTTCCATTTACTGAACATCTGTGGTACCTGATTCCTCTTTGAAAGAATATTTTACATTAAATGAAACAAACAAACAAACAAACAAACAATAAAGCAAAACACTGAAAATGCCAAGAAAACATTCTTCTAATGGAAGCCAAATTAATAAACAATCTGAACCTCATATCATGTTATTTTCCATGGAAGTCTTGTTATTTCTCTTGAAGGCTATCGTGACTGGTAATATAAACACCAGGAAAATCGTGGTACGTCTCCTGGTGCTTCCCAATCCATTCCAATCCGAAGTCTCAGCTCCAAGGCACTACGCTGTCAGCAGTGAAGACGAGGTGTTTTCCAGGAGCCCCTTTGCCATCCCTGTTGCTACCCTATGGTTCCAACCCAGGTGCGACAACATGGCGGGTTTCCACCTTAGGCTGGCTCCTTCCTCCAGCACCAGAGGAGCAAAGTATCCAATCCACCCCGAGGGGTGACTGGTACCCTGCATGAAAAGATACTTTCCCTTCCTGGGACCAGGTCTGGGGGCATTCGAAGGACTTTGCTTCTTTGCTCTGGCAACAAGCTGGGCACTATGCTTCTGGAGCCTGTGGTGTCACTACTCGAGTGGTTGGAAGGTCCGTCAGTAGGGGCATGAAAATCGTGTCTTTAGAGCTGAAACTCCGGGGGGAATCGAAGTTATTAACCTCTGAGCCTCAGGTAGCAGTTTTATCAGCCCCCCAGGGAAGTTTTGTCTCTATAACTATCTGCCAGTCCACGAGGAATGGTGTTCCCTTATTTATTATTCAATATCATGGGGCAGGTGCCTTGGGAATTGGTGTGAGCACAGAGAGCAATTGTGTATATTATTCTACTTTATTGCTCTGTGTGCCTGGACACTTTCTAATGAACATGCGCACTGAGATATTTATGTTCTCTAGTAGGACTCTAGCAGGTAGCTTTCTCTCCTGGATGCACCCTTCTGACTGTGTTACAGCATGTGCTTCCAAGTACCTTAGTAGGAAAGGAGGTGAATGGGCGACTACATAAAATACGTACAGTAGGGGCAGCATCTGAGGGGGGAGGCAATCTCAGACATCCTGCTGCAGGCTTAGCCTCACAGTGCTTTGCCCATTGTCTTCCACTGCTCTCTATGCCATTGGCCTGCTCACAAGGTTAACCCACAGGCCAGCACACAGCTGTCTATGCAGATGATAGAAGGCCAGGGCCTGTAGGAGAGGCTCATCCACGCGACCCTTAATTTGGCCTATTGATTGCTTTGCCCTGGCCAGTTTCATGAATCTTTGCTAGAACCATCTCTTACTAGGTGTCTGCTAGAAACTAGCCGTCCACTCTCTGCCAAGATGGCACCAGCAGCATGCTAACCTGTGCTGGGGGGTGGGTTGTCATCTTGACATGCAGACCTTCTCAAAGTGTGCCCAGGGTTTTTACTTGGGCAGCCAATGCTTCCTTTCCCCGAAAGCTCACTGTGTGTCTTTGCCCCAGCCCCCAGAGGCACACTTGATTACTAGCCAATAGAGTTTAAGTCAAACAACAACGAAAACAATCCCACTGCCGTCTAGTTCATTCCAACATATAGCAATCTTATACAGAGTTTCTGAGATTGTAGGTCTTTTAAAAAATGATTCTGTTATCATCTATTTACATATGAATCTAACTATGCTACCATATATTCATCTACTTGTATTACTATGTGATCTTTCTTAAAATATAAATTTTATTTACTCATTTGTTTGTTTTCTTCCCATTTTCTCACCATCCTTCCCCACCTTAACCCAGCTTTTCTGTAACTATTATGGTCTAATTTTTTTGGTATGAAAATCATTTTTCTTGATTTTTCCTTTTATATCAGTGGTCTCCTATAGTAGTGATCTATAGGCTTGACCAACAGCCCACTTTACTCTCTACAAAACTTGTCCATGAGGTTTCGACAGCTTAATCATTAGTCTTTAGTCATTCATCATGTTCCATTTTGTACTTTTACCAACATTTAGTTATCCAAACTAAGTCTTTATGGGAGTAGATAGCCTTATGTCTTTCTGGAAGTGCAGCTCATGGGTTTGAACTGACAGCCTTGAGGTCATCAGTCAGGATTCTTTAAAGCACTGGGCCAAGCAGGGTATATATATATATACCTTCTAAAACCTCACAAAGGAGTCTTGGTGCTGTGAGTGAGGTATTGGACTGCTAACCACAGGTCAATGGTTTAAACCCACCAGCTCCTCTGAGGGAGCAAGATAAGGTTTTCTACTCCCATAAAGAATTACATTCTTGGAATTTTGTTTTATGTGGTTTCTGTTTCTTTGTATTAGGGTGCACATCAGGGGTGCTATGTCATTGGGGCTTACACTCTTGAAGTCGTGACATACGTTGTTCTGTTTTGGGGTAAATGAGTCCAGGATTGAGGAACCTATAGGAATAGTGAGTAGAACAAGGACTTCAAAGGGCTGGGGGGTAAAATGGAGACAAAGTCAAGGAATCCAGGAAGAAATAGTAGGTTTGGAAGTTGATTATGAACACGATGGTACAAGTCTGCTTGGCGTGATTGAGCGATGCAAGGACATGACATTTGTGTTAATGCCCAAGTAATAATAAATTAAAAGAAAAACAGCAACACATAGATCCAGGAATGGGGTTTGGGTTTACACTAAATCCAAGCTCCAACTTAAGAACAATTCCATCATGGTCCTGCTCAATACTCGCCCTCAGGAAAGGAGAAGAGGAAACTGGCGCTAAATGTGGTGACAGAATTAGATGGTGCCTAAATTTTTAGGTAAAATAGCTTCTGGGGTCTTGAAGGCTTGGCTCCAAACAAGCAGCCATCTAAGTGGGATGTCAACGAAGTCCCCATGGAGGAAGCACACCATCAGCGGTCACCGAAGGATCGTGAAGCGTATAATCCAAAGTTGAAGGAGGGATTAGTATCAGAGCCTAATGTGTGAGAATCTGGTTTGCAGAAGGCTATGGATGAGAGTGGGAGCCCAAGCGTCACTGGTGGAACTACATAAGAAACAAGCCTCCGGTGAACTCCCTCTACCCACAATTGAGGGAGAGGAGGAAAGTGGTTACTAAACGGAGTGCACTGGAGAGTTGAGTAGAGCAGACCACGGGCATAAATGTAACTTGAACAGTTAAAATCTTGTCAGCAGATCTCCCCCTATGATGCATGCTAGACCTGATCTGGTTTCCAATTTTTTTCTGTATTTTTGGTGTGTATTGTTTAGTTTGGTGTGTGTTTGTACATATTAGGGAGTATCTCAGAGGAGTTAGGTCATTTGGGGTCACCCTTTTGAAATTGTGTTATATGTTTTTTGTTTATCGATAAACGAAACCCAGGATTGATGAAGCCATAGAGATAGCAAGTAGAATAAGGGATTCATGGGTGAGGGGACGGTGGTGATGGCGGGCGGAAGGGGAGACAATGGCAAGGAGTCCATGTAGATAAGAAATGTTTGGAAACTGATTGTGGTAGCAAGTGTACAAGTCTGCTGGATGTGATTGGACCATGGAATGACATATGTATTAATTTCTAATTAATAATAATAATAACAAATTACATTCTTGGGAGCCCAAAGCAGACTGGAAAGTTCATGATTTCAATATGAGAGTTCATTAGGGGCTTGCAGATCTGTTTCTCCAGTACTGCTGAGGGAAGCAGGGCTATTCTGATGTTCGTGGACAAAAGGTGGCTCAGTGTCAGGGCCAGAACCTTGGTGACCATCCCAGCGAGTGCTGCATGAAAGTCAATAAGCAAGTGGAAGTGAACTAACAGCAAGCAAGAGTTTAGCGATATCCAATATCTAAAATGCCTACAATTCTAATTAGTCCCATCTGTTTAATCACTCTAGTATAACCAATGATTGACAACAAGTTTGAAGTTCATTTCTGTT